ATTTGAAGTGGTACCAATTCTATCTACTGGACGTAGCTGCTCTGGTTTTAGCTGTTGTTGTATTGGCAATCGGAACTTCTGTTTTGTCACTGCGCTGGATCTTTAGAAAGCTGATAGCTGGAAAGAGCAAGCAAAAAGTGCAGTAATAAATGCTTGTGCATGTTGATACCAAGGACTAAATGTAGGTGATTTGAATAGTTGGAATTTCGAAATCTACGCCAATCTTTTGCGGCTAACTGGCTTTATCCGCTCTCACCGACTTAAATTTGTAAAACCCGCGAGTACAGCTGAACTGTGCGGCGCAGCCTCAAACATCTATGAAGGCCTTGCTGGTTTATAAATATACGAGGACCTTATTTAAAAGTGTCTACCTTTCACTTTTTTTACTTTTTTTTTAATAAATATATTCTTCTTAACCTCGAAACAAACTTTTCAAGTATAATATACATATTATGAATACGAATTTGTGTTCCTTTTTTTTATTTGGCACGACAACCGTTTCTCGGTTTGGGCCGAGACCAAAACAACTAGCCTCTGAAAAAGGTTTTAGACTCGGCTTATCAGGCAAGAAGCTCATTATCCGTGAGTTTTGCAATTAACCCCTGAAGTTATAGCAGACCGTATGCATTTGAATAAAATAATTTTTAAAAAGTGGATGTTGTAGAGTCTTCTTTCGGGTAGTAACATAGAGTAGGAGTGCCAGGTAGTTTTTATAGAAGTGGAAAAAATTATTAAAATAAATTTCTGTGCAAAATTAAAGTTTAATACATTTGTATATAGTAAAATTTCATGGGAAATATTTTCGTAGAAGATTTTAACCCATTAGCTCCCGCGTGAATGAGTCGTTTTGACCCTTAATTTCAGAAACCCTACAAAATACAATTCTTGCACAGTGTTTTTTTTTATTTTTATCCACTTTCCACTGAGAGTTTTACACGAATATTTCAGACGCTGCAATTCGTCCGTGCTCTTTATAATCTTTGAAAGAGTACTTTCACGCTATTATAATAAAGAAAGCAGGTCCTTTCTTTAAAGCCAGAAATTTTTTTTCTGAGGAATTTTACAGAGCTTATTTTTCTTTTCAGGAACTCTAGAACTATTGAAAAGCAACTGAGAACAGTTTTTTATTTGCCTTTTTGCCACATGTCTTATGCGCGATTCTGGCATACACAATTTTTGAAACAATTATTATTTTTTGTCAAAATATACAGAAGATTTTCTTTTCAAGAACTACTGAAAAGCTACTCAGAACACACCGGTACTCACTGAGACGACCTGGGGTCAGTGAAGCACCGTAGAAATACAATCCGTTACCCTCGATTGAGGGAAACCTCAGTACCACGATCCATCGCTATTGCGATGGGCTGTGCTATTGGAGAGCAGCGAGCCTTACCGCGGATCCCCCTGAGCTTAGCTGGATACAGTTCTGACAACACACAGAACAAAGATACTGGAGTAATCATTTCCAGTCGGCACCCTTGGGTAGTGGACAATTTTATCGCAGGCTACATATATGCATGTATGTATGTCTTTAAGTATGTATGAACTGAAATCTAATCAGCTGTAAGTTCAATATACAAAAGCACCTTTGATCATCAAGAATGGCAATAAAATGGTAATCTTAAAGTTTACCAAAAAGGCCAGCGGATTTTGCCCTCACCAAAATGTGCTATAGACATCAAAAAATAGTGATATAGTCAAAGTAGTCGGTTCAAACCAACCGAATATCTATGCAATTTCGAAAAAGACACATGTCTGAAAATTTCACGTATTTAAAAAAAGAAAAAAAAAACTAGTTATTTCTCATTGAGATGTGACTTTATTTTTCGGTGCTCGCCATGACCTCAACAGTGGAAGTGACACAAGGATGCGCCCCTTTTGAACTTGAAAAATACAGAGAAGCATTTAGTTTACATTCATATAACAAAATTTATTTAAAAAATTAAGTTAATTTTGAACCAAGATGGGTGATCTGATCTGGTAATGATAGAACTGTTTTGAAATGTATCGTACTCATTTAGAATACGCCGAAGAAGAATCGAAGGTGAATATTTTATTGTAATTTTCAAAAATTTCTTAAAAAAGTCAAAACTTCTTGGTATTTGCGATACGTACTCAATACTCAATAAAAAGTATCGATACTCTCTACTCGGTACTCATATCTTTCTATCACTAAATGAGCAGGCCTACAGAGTTGTGTAGATAGATAGGGCAAGGGGATGGGGATTAGGGGGATAGATATCCCCCGTGGAAACCGATGGTATATATGTAGTATTGGGTAAGTCTGACAGACAAGTACTTCCTTTGTTTTGAAGGCTGTAACATTTTTACGTTTAAGTTTGAAATATGTGTTTAAGTCAAATATTATCGACGAGTAATAGAAACTGATTGCTGCACCTTAAGAAGTACTAACTGAGCTGAGAATGTAGAAAAGATATCTGACTAACAAAATGAGCAGTAGTTAAGCCTTAAAATGCATTAGATGTAATAGTTTCAATATGCCTTTGATTGTGTGATTTTATTTAGTCCTGCTTAAATAGTTCACATCACCCCCTCGCCCGTACTCACGGCTATCTACGCCACTGGCCTACAACAGTAAAGTTAAAAATTTATCACAAAATTGCTTCTTTAAAGAAATAGTGTTTATCGCGGTCTAGTTTTAGTTTCAGAGCGCGCTGAGTAGAGGCAGGCAAATCCCAAAAATAATGAAATTCCTTTTTTTGAATTAGTGAAGAAAAATATTCACTTTGGTGGTGCTGAATAAAAATGGTGATTATAATTTTACGTGCTTGTGATTTTACTATAAATTAGCCTTAAAAAAAAAAAAATTTGTATGTTTAAATAAATTGAATTAAATGGAATTGAAATTTTGTCAAGTCTGAAGAGAATAACTTTCATTGAATACTTTTGCACTTAGCTGCCTTTCCTCGATCCACAATTTTACAAATAATACGTATGTAGGTGACTTGCATATCTGGAAAATAAATTAAAAATTACGACAGCTTCAAAGCAGAGTGGTGGAAGTAATAAAATATACTTTTTTATTTTGACCAGCTTTGGCTATATTTTTCGATTGTTTATTCGATTTTTAATATATTTTATAAAAGTCTAGCACATAGCATTTTTTAGCTGACGGTATTGTGCATTTGCTTCCATGTAAAGTATGCTCAAAGTTTTTGCTTTATATTGAAGAAAATGCCTAGCAGCGTCAGCAAACAAAAAAATTATTAAAAATCAACGCGATTGTGTAGCGTCTTGAAACTTGCACTTTATCCTACTAAATTTTAATGGGCTATAAAACTGCATACTTAAAATTTGACTAAAGTTTCTGAATAAAGCCTTGACAGTTTTAGGAGATTTTGGTAAAATTCGTTTAATTTTTTAATTTTTGTACAAAGGTTTAAATGTGGATTTATACGGTGCGTGTTATATAATGTGCTAGACTTTTATAAAACAAAAATATTAAACATCGAATAAACAAAAGGAATATATCAAAAATCATTTTATGTTTCCGCATGAGAACTCGAATTTGGACGAAGCAAAATAAACATTAAACCAGCCATCTGTTGGCCATCTTTTCGCTTCGCGCTGCAGCTACAACGATCTATGTGGCATGATTTGTGCATTTACATACAATTCACCTTATCTGTCAAAGCGAATCTGTCACGCAAAGCGAAGCAAGCGCTTTATCTGGCATCAGCTTTACAGACAGCTAGGCGGCAATTAAATACCAGGGAAATGCAATCTCTTAGCGAAATGGCTGAGACTTTCCATACGCATATTGTCTGAGTTTCTGGCCATGGCGTCATCAAGGGAACTTGCCAGTCTGAACGACTTGCTCATCATGAAACGATTGTGTCTGGTACCGATATCAGGTATACAAATTGTCATATACATACTTAGTAATAATTTGACCAGCGCTGTCTCTACTCTAAGAAGTTCAACAGCGCATTGTCTGATAGGATAACACAGGCGACGTACACTGGAACAAATACTTCCAAAGTTGTATGGACGCTGTTGAGGAGGGAACCGTTCAAGTTATTTTCTAATTAAAAAGATATAGTTAACGCGTAGCAATGTGAGTGGCGATTGCATTGATTCGTTTCTTAGAGGAATAGCACTGCTGTAAATATACAAATGTAGAATTGTCGCTTCCATAGTTGAGCGTACCGGACTCTGGTTGATGTAATTTTACTTGTTCACTAAAATTCGCCGAGCTCTTGTTATTTTGGTGGATAGTGCTTATAAAACTACGAGTACATTTTATTTTATTGGCATTTTCGATAACAAAGCAGATAACGATAGCGTTCACTAGAACGTCTTTTTGCTTATGGCTTCGTTAGAGTACCATAAACTTGGATAAATTATTATGACACACGCACGTTTATGACCGTTACTATTTAAAAATTCTTTCCAGTGTTGCCACAGTTGTGGAATATCTAACATATTTTGTGTCATTTTTCACTTCGACGACAACTATCACATATTTTAAAATCTACCACAATTTTACTGAAATTAAGTTATTATTTTAATGCGTTATTACAAGACACGAACGATAAGCCGCACGAGTGATTCGTCTGTAGCAATGTTTCTTCTTGACAAATTTTTACGTTACCATCTACCACCGTTTTTATTAATAATCTTTACCTAAATCTGCTTAACCTATGAACGTATTTAGTGTTCCAGAATTCTCGTCGGCCTACTGGCACTCGCTGTGCTGGCGGCTCAAGCTCCTTCAACATATGGCGCCAGAATACTTGCAGTCTATGCAGCTGCAGCCGTAAGTCACTTCCAGATGCATCGAGCTATGATTAGCGAGTTAGTGAAACATGGCCATGAGGTATAAGCAGCAGCCTTATCATCTTCTATTATATGTACTTAAATGTTCTTCTGGTTAATGCACCTTTAGGTCACCATGATAACCGCAATTACGCTGGAGCCACTCAAATTGGGCAGCAACTACAGTGAAATACTCATTGAACCAGAGTTTGATGGCTGGGAGATCGGTAAAATTTTATGGCCTATTCAATCTTTAATTTTTATACTACATGCATGCATATATGTATGTACATTAGGGTGGTCCTTAAAAAAATCAAATGAACGATTTTTTTCAGTCTCACCCCCTCTATCGGTAATACCACGACCACATATATCACATATAAATTTCTTCCCCGATTGGAGTCAGTTAAGGCGTGGCACAAAGGGGTCAAAGGCCAGATGCCTCTATGGACTCAAAAAATTAAATATATGTATATATTTTCCATTTAATACCCTAAATCGATACTACTGAAGTTGAAGATATCACACATAATCATTGGTCCCGATCGGAGTCGGTTAAGACGTCTTCATAGGGTATTCTAAAATTTGACCCCTGTGCGACACGCCTTAACCGACTTCAATCGGGACCAACATTTATATGCGATATTTTCGACAATAGTAGCAGGGCAGGCTTAGGAAATCTGATATAAAAATTTGCTTCCTACATTTAAGGATCACCCTAATGTACATACATACAAATTTCATATAACCTCGTTTCAGTTAAGGAAATGACCGGAAAAAATACTAGCTTAGAAATAAAAAATAGTTTATCAACTTATTTTGAAATCGTAAAGTATGTAACTGTGCTAAATGTCGAACACGTTTTAAAGCAACCAAAAGTGCTGGAAATTATTAATGCCAAACAAACTGAAGGCGTTTACGATCTGCTACTGGTAGAGCAATTGCATCAAGAAGCCTTTCTCGCCTTGGCCCACGTCTATAAAATACCCGTTGTCAGTTCAGCCACATTTGCGCAACAAAACTATATGAGCCAAATGTTCGGCCATGTGACACCTTGGTCGTATGTGCCTATGGAATTTCTGCCACTAACAGATCGCATGAGCTTTTGGGAACGCGCCCTTAATAGCTTTTGCTCACTTCGCCTTGATTTATTCCGTGAATTTGAGTATTTTCCGAAAATGGACGCGCTTGTGCAGAAATACTTTGGACATTTGCCAAGTAAGACATATTCGATTGATCATCATTAGATTAGTTATCTCACTACTGTTATAATTTTCTGACTTTTCACAGTTGAATTCCCCAGTATTTCGGCGATGGAGAAGAATCACTCTGCTATATTAATCAATAACTACACACCATTAGCGTTCGCTGAACCTAAAATGGACAACATGATTTTTGTCGGCGGTTTGCACATCAATCCACCAAAGCCACTACCCACCGATTTGCAGAAATTCTTAGATGACGCAGAACATGGTGCTATTTACTTCAGCTTTGGTACCGTAGTCAAAGCCAAGGGCATGCCAATAGAAAAGCTAAATTTATTCCTCGATGCTTTTCGTCAGCTAAAACAACGCGTTCTATGGAAATTCGAAAACGAAAGCATACCAAATTTACCATCCAATGTTTTGATTAAAAAGTGGCTGCCACAAAACGACATCTTAGCGCACCCTAACGCTCGCGCTTTTATATCTCACGGAGGGCTGTTTGGTTTACAAGAAACCGTGTATCATGGTGTCCCGGTGGTAGGCATGCCCTTCTTCTTCGATCAGGTGAACTGAATATGAGCAAAAAAAACAAATACACTTTTGTTTTAATAATCTTCTTTTCTTCACCAGCATATAAATATGAAGAAAGCTGAGGCTGCTGGATTTGCCGTTACTTTGGATTACCATACGCTCACACATGATGATTTCAGAAGCGGTCTGAATGAGGTGCTCTTCAATCCCAAATACCGGGATACTGCTAAACGGTTCTCGCGCATTTTCCGCGACCGTCCCATGGGTCCGCGCGAGACTTTAATCTATTGGATCGACTATGTGATACGCCACAATGGAGCGCGTCATTTGCGCGCAGCTGGTATGGATTTGAAGTGGTACCAATTCTATTTACTGGATGTTGCTGCTGTAGTTCTGGTCGCGGTTTTGGTAACATTCGCAGTTTCTGTTTTTACAATGCGCTGGATCTTGCGAAAGATAAGAGGTGGCAAGGGTAAACAAAAAGTGCAGTAAACATAAAAATAACAATGCAAGAACAAAAAACACGCAACAAAGAAGGCTTGCGAAAGTCTTTCGATAAGTTATGATTTACATCTATTTCTTAATAAGATAGCTACTTATATTCAAATACATATTTTGTAAGAAGAAAACCAGTTGTTTATTTGGTTTTACTGGATTTTGGAATTACTTTCGATTTTACAGCTGAGAGAAGCTAGGGATGTCGGAAAAACATCGATGATGATGATAATGTTTTGCTTCGATGCATCGACAATTTTCCACTCGATGTATCAATGTTTTTTGAAAACTGACATCTCTAGTACCTTGAACCGTCGTTCCAGTTTTTCAATTGTACAAAAAAGAGAAGTCACTTTGACCAAAAAAATTTACTCTCTTATAACTCCGAAGAATTTTTTGCTTTTATATGATACCCGTACTGTTATCCTACATGGCACTGAATTTTTTAAATAATTTTTTGAAATAACCATATTTTTGAAATTACAATCTCATTTTAAAACAAGTAAGAAAGTCTAAGTTCGGGCGGAGCCGAACATTAAATACCCGGCGCAAGTATTAAATATATGTTTTTCACCTTTCCGAAAGCTACCGCTACATAGTAAGCCGGGGTGTATACATTTTAAGTAAATTAGCGTCCTTAAATTTCGAAATATTGAAATTTCAAGCATTTCTGAAATCTACCGTTATAAGAAAAGCGGCCTCAATTTTAGCCCGATTTCAACAATTTTCAACGGTTTGCTTTTATGTGGCCAGCACAATAACCATACCGAGTTTGGTACAAATTGCTAGAACGGTTAGCGAGATACATATATGTAATCAAAAGTGGGCGGCGCAACGCCCATTTTCCAAAATTTTACCATAAACGTATTTCTTGGTAAAGAATTGTTGAAAACGTCAATTTTGAATAAATTAGCTTCAATATTTACTGATTTATCGAAGATTTTGTATTTCTCTAAATTACCGTTATATGGGATGTGGGCGTGGTTATTCTCCGATTTTCAAAATATTCGGCCATTTCGTACGTTATACCAAGGCCAATAACTGTGCCAAGTTTGGAAGAAATTGGTGTAGCGGTTACCAAGATATAGACATGTAACCATAAGTGGGCGTGGCTACGCCCATTTGCCAAAATTTTGTAATATTCTTATTTTTCGTCTAAAACTCATTGCAAATATCAATTTTGAGTGAATTATCTTCAGTAGTTACTAAAATATCGCAGTTTTCGTTTTTCTGAAAATTACCGTTATATGGGAGGTAGGCGTGGTTATTGTCCGATTTTTAAAATTTTCAGCCATTTAGTATGCTGTACTAAGGCCAATAACTGTGCCAAGTTTGGAAGAAATTGGTGTAGCGGTTACCAAGATATACACATGTAACCATAAGTGGGCGTGGCTACGCCCATTTTCCAAAAATTTATAAAATTCATGTTTTCCGTCTGAAACTCATTGTAAGTATCAATTTTGAGTGAATTATCTTCAGTAGTTACTAAAATATCGCAGTTTTCGTATTTCTTAAAATTACCGTTATATGGGAGGTAGGCGTGGTTATTGTCCGATTTCGCCCATTTTCAATACCATCCGTCCTACGCCCAAAAGAAGTTCACGTATCAAGTTTCGTTAAGATATCTCAATTTTTACTCGAGTTATCGTGTGCACAGACGGACAGACGGACGGACGGACGGACGGACAGACAGTCACCGCTTAATCGATTTCTCTTTTCATTCTGATCATTTATGTATACATTTGTCTATATCTATTTGGATTCGTTTTGCCTGTTACAAACAACCGTTATGTGAACAAAGTTATAATACCCTTGTGCACAAGTGCGCTCGGGTATAAATATACTGACGTCAGAGAGAAAAACTAAGTGCGCAGTTTTACTATAATTTACCCATATTTTCGCGAATATATTCATTTTGGTGTTTGTAAAATTTACTGTCGCACGATGTCCGACATCATTGTAAATGTATTAAAACCTACATAAATACTTCATCAAAAGATTTTTTGATTTTTGCTCAGGCAACTGGGCCTTTCACATACACGCAGAAAACTTTTATTCTCACCTTTTTTAACATAAAATGCCAAATCCTACTTTAATTTTTAGCCATTTAAAACTTGCACTTTATTCTAGTAGAATTCAATGGACTACAAAACTGCATACTCAAAATCTTTCTAAGAAATCAACTAAAAAAGCTCAAAATTTTTACGAAAGTTTGTTAATTTTTTTTAAATATTTCTAGGGCTGCCAAAATTTTCAGTACGTTTTTATCCAAAGCAAAGTTATAGATCTAAGTATCATATAATAGTTTAAAACGCCAGAGTACTTGTTTTTAACAATATATAACAATATATAAATAAAATATAGTTCATAAAAAATAAAAGTGTAATTCACTTTAACATAAGTGTACACATTATTGTACACAGAAGCCAATAAATAATTTTATATATATGACATTTTTGAATAGCAGTAATGAGATCCTTTCCATCTTCAGTGTTTAAATAGTCAACAAATTCTATACACTTTATTTTAAAATTACTTTTAATTTGAAGTTCACTTTAAAAAATTTTCTCTCTCCGCCTGGAAGCAAACTTTATACTTAAATACTTAAGATCCTCTCAGTTGCTTCGTTTGAGTGAAAAATTACAAAAAAAGGGAACAGTCCAGCGCCTTCGTCTTGGTCTGCAGGCTGTATCGGAGATACAGCCGCTAAATTTAAACGTAGAATACGTGGTATGGCTTAGAGCACATCCAAGTCAAAAACGAAAGCACACACTAATAAAAAAATATCGATGACAAAAGCGATAATTATATCGATAGTAAAATCGATAAAAACACCGATAATAAAATCAATAAAAATATCGATAGCAAAATCGATAAAAATATCGATAACAAAATTGATAAAAATATCCATAAAGATATCAATAAAGAAAATGATAAAATCGATTTCAAAATCTAAAAAAATCGATCATAAAATAGAATATCGATAGCAAAATCGACTAAAATATCGATAACTAAATCGATAAAAAATGTCGTTCATTATATCGATAATTTCCGAAAATAACGATAGCAAAATCAATAACAATATCGATAAAAATTTCGATAACAAAATCGATAAAAATATATCGATAACAAAACCGATAAAATATTGATAAGTCCCGAGAATTGCGAAAATCTCTAAAATCCCGAAATAGTCCCCAGATTGAGTCTCTGTCTATGTCCTTTTCTCTATAATTACCTTTATTTTAATCTATTTTCCTCTTTCTTCATCTTTACATTTATCGGTATCCTCATCCCCATGTTTTTCTTTGTATTTGTCTTTGCTTTTACATTTATGTGTATCATATTCTTCATCTACATATTTCCCTTCACCTTTGCCTTTTATAAATATTCCGCCATCTGTTATTCAAAAGCCTAAATACCTACAAACACATACGTTTTGTCTCCTTCTCTCACTTGCGACGCATGCACATGTTTGCAAAATGATGATGAAGTTATTTTGTATGGAAAATTTTTTATTTAGTTCTCGTGCAATAAGCGGTTTCGTAAAGCTCTAAAAATTTCAACTACAACATTTGAGCATAGCCTCTATATCGAAACGTAAGACGTATTCTACGTCCAAAAAGAGCGGCGGCGGCGTGGCGGCGTATACGTCTAATCCACATGTATGCCGGTGAAGCTATCCTTGCAGGTAAATCGCGAACTAGTGAATCAAATTTCTAGTTCCGCACTTGATCTTTATCGCCAAAAACGAACCAGTGCGATTTTAACTAGATCCCAACCAGTCCAAAATCGGCGAAATGTGGTACTTTAAAAAAAACTATTTTATTCCACTTTTTTCATTAGAAACCTATATCTAAGATGACGAATTTAGAACTGGTTCGTAATTGTTAAAAAAAGCGATACAGAATGACCTGGATCTTATCTGTCGAATTTAGAACTACAAAGTTCGGAACTGTCGGCAAAGGGATGCAGCGAGTATTCGTTTACTTTACATAGAAATGTGTTTGGCGGGTTTTTTCGTTCAAATACGCTTTAATTCTGCACTTCGCAGATTCTTTTTCATAGTTTGGTAATATAAAATTTGTGTTACATTTTAACATCGGGATCGCCTGGAATCTAATCAATAACAGCGAGCACCTCTGCAAACTCAGCTACAGCCAAGTGTTTGTAAACGTAAATTTCTTACAAGCATTAAAAAAAATTGTATTTCAGATTGAAAGCACATTTTCATTTAGAACTGTGGGTAATTGACACTGCCTAGGACATCGCCATGTTAAATTCGCCAGTTGTTTGCATGCAATAGAGATTTATAGCGAACCAGTACTGGTTCTAAATGTCCTAGAAGCGCATCAGTTCAGAACTAGAGATTTTCCCCACAGGGAAATCAAATAAAATAAAACAAAACTTTGCGAAATAAGAGCAATCATACAATTCCATACTTGCGTAAACAAGTCTAATCTTTACAATAAAATATTGTCTGCACGCTTAGTTTTGTAGCATTTAACGACAAGCGGACGGGAAAAAGTGATCCTTCGGAATTCCATCATATTTGTTAGGTAATTGTACTCATGCTAGGTATGAAAGTATGCACAAAATTTTTCATTTATTAATAGGCAATTTTATGGTTTGTGGCAGGGTTGGCGAACCAGAGGCGCGCGTGCTACGCAACATAATAATTTTGATACAGAATTAATTGAGGACTCAATTGCTCAATTACTAGTACATAGTAGTACTAGTTACTACCTATTCGGAACAATTTATTTTTTCATTTAAATTGGAAATCAAAGCAGAAAGCAAAAAATACAGACAGTAACCAACAAAATCCACAGAATACAATCGATTCTTGAGTTCCAGTGCATCATTTCGCCACCCTTTTATACCAAAACCCAGAATACCATGCGTACACGGAAACCACATATTTTATAAATTCAATTGCATAAATGTAGAGTTAAGTCAAGTACAAAAAAAAACTTTCCAACTCTATTTCCGAAATTTTTAATTTTTCCACATTCATGTTTCTGGTATACGGCGTTACGGGCTTCTGAAGAATAGTCAGAATTAAAATTATGTTTTTTTTTTTGAAGTAGGTTTTCGTACCGAAAAAAAGTTTCACAAAAATATAGCCTTTGGTGCAATTATAATACCCTATATTTAATTAATATAAAAAGTCATAGAGTGAAAATAAACGAGAAAAGCCAAGAAACCTGTGGATCAGTTCGGTATCTCATCATCTCTAAAAAATGTTTTTATCACCGAGAAGAAATTGCCGAGTAATGCCTGGCAAAAGAGATTTTACTAACTTTACGTGAAGTTCAAATACCAACGTTAAAGTAAGTTTCAAAACGTGTTTTACTTTAAGACCAAAACAGTAAAATAATTTTAATCGGCATTTAATAATTATTTTATGATTTTTAATTTTTTCATTCCAAGATTTTTATTTATTATAATTTAAACTTTTATAATTTAAACTTTTTCGTTTAGAAAAAAAATATTACTGAGTTTTATTTTTCCACTTAGAAACCCATACAGATGCAACCAACCGAAACTTTGACCTCAGACTCATTCTTTCCGTTATGGTGTCGCTACCTCTGAAAATATACACACATCGGAATTAACGCCACTATAGCATTTGAGTTTTTAGAATAAACATTACTATTAAGTGAAAAAATAAAAAGCAAATATTTAATTTATTGTTATTTTCAATTTGTATTGGCTAAACTCGAAAAATATAAATATTTTATAATTATAACAGAATATACAAAGAAACATATATGGGTGCGATCGAGTGTTTTTTGTGGCGCTTGGAACATTTTGATAGTTTAGATTAAAATTTAAAAAAATAATGATTATTTTCCGTCCCTGGTTTGCAACTACCACCAAACTTGAAATCTAATGTTGGATGATGGAGACTTTACAGCTGGAACTTTTTTCTTATGGAAATTGCCTACGCAAGATGATGAGTCTCAATCCAACGCAGACGTGTCCTTTAATGACTGCAAAAACACCCCCAATCAGCTACCAATAACGAAAACAATCAGCACATATGTATGTAGCATGAGTATATAATTCAACTACAAATTTCGTTGCCAATTAAAGCATGCTAAAATGTGTATGAAGAACTAACCGCTGATTTGTATGAATTATTATTACTAATATCAATAATAATTTTCGTTTGTTATCGCAATAAATGGCACCTATATCAAACATAATTTGCAATTTTACCACATAATTTTAAAACGAAAATCTTATCCTACCACACTGATAAGTAGGAACTCTAAAAAATGATTAGAAATTAAATATTAGACAGTCGAAGTATTATTGTTTCAGTGCAAAAATATAGTTTTCAGTGCGCGGTTGTGGGCCGCAGCAGCAAAAGCTAGAGAGGTGGCGTTAATCGGTGAACAAATATGTATTTGAAGAATCAAAAAATTATTTGCAGTGATAAACAATATGGGTAAATATGTACAAAAATGCGTATAAAAAATAAATCAAAATGTTTGTAATCAATAACACATCTTTTTAGAGTTAAAAAATTTTAGTTTTCCTCTTAGTATTGCCTGGACTGTTGATTCTAGCACCTAACACTGATGGCGCCAAAATACTCGCGGTCTACATAATGCCAGCTAGAAGTCACTACCAGATGCATCGAACCCGGATTAGCGAGTTGTTGAAACATGGCCATCAGGTAAATGCAGCCTTTTCCAAACACAGATTTTTACGCAGTTTTTTTACGAAGTTAAATGCATTTATTGTTAATCCACCATTAGGTCACCATTGTAGCCGCTCTCGTACTTGAGCCGCCTTTCTTGCCTTGGCTCACATCTATAAAATACCTGCCGTCAGCTCTGCCACATATACGCAACAAAACTACTTGAGTCAGATGTTTGGCATAATTTCGCCTTGGTAGTAGCGAGGCTCTAATGCCTCTACTATTTACGCACTGCGCATACCAAAAATAGATGCGCTTGTTGAAAAATACTTTACACATTTGCCAAGTAAGGAATATTCAAATTTAACTACCAATATAGCTAATATGAATATTAATAATGGTATATTACTAGTTATGTATTATCAATATTGAGCACAATTATTATTATAATCAAAAGCATTTAAGACGTGAATTTGAAGTAGTAATATTGGTAAAAATTTTTTGCACAACTATTTCCTAAAATATGTAGGTACCAAATTTGAATCAAATCTTCTCATAAATACAAATTTTCTAAATATTTCTACTCCAGCGCCATCACGCGAGTCAAAAAATAAGTATGCCACCAACTTGCTTTTCATAAACGCATAGTTTTACAAAAAAAAACAGCTTGGAATTGAGCATAAAGTTTTATTCAATTACAACATTACTGGAAATAAATGAACTTTATAAAAGGTTTATAAATTGAAAAAGGTATGAAAACGTCAATTTATAAAGCTCTTTAAAACCACTTTATTTTTTATAAATAATGCCATAAATACATAAATGAAAAACGAGTGTTTTTTAAGAAATAAAAACGGACGTTTTGTGTGGAGTTTAATTATCTTTAACCAAACAAAAAAAATCTAAAATCGAATGAAAATTTCGGACTGAAAATCAATTTGTCCTAAGGCAGTTTTTTGACCCACTGTGAGGCGTACGGACAGACAGACAGACAGACCTAGCTTAATAGATTTCCCTTTTCATTCTCAACATTTTGGTGCATATATGCATGTACTTCAGGGTGCTTTTTTCGCGAATATTTTTTTTTTCACTCCCACCTCGAAATTTTATGGGAAATACCGACCGAGGCGTGCAAAGATTTCCCGTTTAAAATACTCGTGAACTTTGATTATTTTTTCTTCAAAATTCTTCAGCTCAGAAACATTTTATGGTATAATCTCTACCGTTGTAGAGCGCATACAGCTTATCGTTAAATCGCCTGCGATATTCGCCATCGCGAACACGCAAAGGCCCGTAAATCTTGCGCAGAATCTTTCTCTCGTCCATGCCTCCACGCTATACACTAGCAAGAATGATGAATACAAGATTGCGCCGATCAGAGAGGATTTTTGAGAATAACTTTTGTGTGACGTCACACTGGTGCACTTGCGAGAGAGAAATGCCAAAACGTGAGCAAGAATGGAAGAAGAAGAAAAAATGTTGCATGGAAAACGTAAACAAGTTGCACCAGTGTGACGTCATGCAAACAACGATTCTGTCAAATTCGTTAAGAGAGGAATAGCGGTCCGAGATCGGCGCAACCTTTGTATTCTCTCAATCGTGATACACTAGCACAGTCATGATGAGTGACCTATAGAGAGTAATTTTTGTGCGACGAGAGAGGACTTTACTTCTCAATTGTCTACTCAGTCCAAAGTAGCCCTTGTTGGCAACAGTGATTCTCCATAGCATTTCAAGGCTGACATTATTATTGGTGTTAATGCCGGTACCAAAATAAACGAAGTTGCCTACGTTTTCAAACTTGTAACTGACAACAGTGGCGTGGGTGCGAAAATGCGTATTCTCTGACTGTTTGTTTGATGACAGGAGATACTTCGTCTTGTCCTCGTTCACCACCAGATCCATTCGCTTTGCTTCTCTATGTAATTCCGAGAAGGCAGAACAGACGTAGCCCTTGTTTTTAACGATAATGTCGATATCGTCGGCATACGCCAGCAATTGTACGCTCCTGTGAAGTATTGTGCCAGAGCTATTCAGTTTTGCGGCTATTATGATCTTCTCCTACGTCAAATTAAAGAAATCACACGAAAGGAGTCACCTTGTCTGAAACCTCGTTTTTTATCAAACGGCTCGGAGAGGTCCTATCCCATTCTGATGGAGCTGGTGATATTGCTCAATGTCATTTTACACAGCCGTATTTGTTTCTAAAATCAGTGGCATTAAAAAAAATCTTAGTTTTACCCCACGTCTCCACCTTCTACAGATTCTGTTAGACTGCAAATTTCCACTGTTAAACCATATCTGTCTTGCCGAATTTCTTACCAACTCTGCCTCAACATCAGCTGTCATTTCGTAGTTTGACAACTCAGTTTTCATTTTACCGCGCCATCTACTTTGGGCGCAAATCGATTTGATTGGGGTATCAATCCTTTTGAGAGTGGTATGTTATGACAGCCGCTGTGGTGTAGTGGTAAGCAGTGCGCGCTTCCACTCCGCAACGCCTGGGTTCAAGCCCTGGTCAAAGCAACATCGCAAAAAAAATATAGAAAGAAGGTTTTTTCTTAACAGCGGTCGTCCCTCGGCAGGCAATGGCAAACCTCCGAGTGTATTTCTGCCATGAAAAACAGCTTCTCATAAAAATACAATCGCCGTTCGGAGTCGGCGTAAAACTGTAGGTCCCTCCGCTTTGTGTGACAACATCAAGGCGCACGCCACAAATCGGAGGAGAAGCTCGGCCAAACACTAACATATGTGTAAGCGCCAATCTATTATTATTATTATTATTATTATTATGTTATGACAGCAGTTACCCACATGAGAAAACGGGACAAAGTTAAAACAGAAATTTGACAGATGTTAAGACACATTTAGTAGAAAATGGGGGCGTGGGGTTAGATAAATTGGCAGTTGATTTGACAGCTGTCAATAGTCAAACTATAAATTATATTGCATACGCGGATTAAGCATGATAATAATAGTTGCGTTCCCTAACTCGTAAGAAGAGCTCAATCAAGTTAGCGGCGCTAAAATGAAAAAATGAAGAAAA